ATAATAATAATAATAATAATAATAATAATAATAATAATAATAATAATAATAATAATTGTCTTGCTATCGCCAAAGGCATCAGCCACAGGCGATATCTCTGACTATCGTCCATACACGATACTATCGTCTATCGGCACAACCCTATTACCCTTCACCCCCTACCAAAAAAAAAAAGTGTTAATGTCTCTGCACTTATGTTTGTACGACAAAAAAGCAGACACAAGCAAAACAAAGTTAAAGATTTTAATGATATTTTAATGATAGCAATTTTTTTTTTTTTTCCAAAAGTACTTAATAAGTATTTTACTGCTTTCATGGTTTTTTGAAAACAGTTATTTTCAATCTGTTGCTCCTGAACAGATGGAGTCACAGTTACTTATTTTAGGGATGCCACATTGCACCAAATCCTGCTTTAACTGGAGTGAGAATCAATCCAGTGAAAGGTCAGCCAGGACCGTATGTCATCATGATGAAAGACCTGCTGTGAATCACACCATCGTGTTTATCAGAGTCTCAGAGGAGCAGCAGCTCCACACACCCTCCACCCTTCCTGCAGGACTGACAACACTCCCTGATTAGAACGCATCAGCAGGCATTCTGCCGCCACAAAACCATGCACTGACGTGATTTCACAAGGCTGCATTTGAACAGTAATATTGTAAAATATATTGCATTTGAAATTAGATGTTTTTAATTATTCCAAACATTTGACCAGTATTGTATATATTATTTCTCGTATGGAAAATAGTGCTAAAAAAATTATGTCACTTTATAAGTCTTCCTGCATGAGCAAACTACACATTTTCAATCAACGATCAGTGGGTTGTCTAACTCACTAATAGACTAGTCGAGTACTGGACAACTAGTCAATCATGATGGCCCATTCCTTGAGAGCCTTCAGCACTATGTTAGTCCCAGGCTGTCTGCATTTCGTACACACAAAAAATATATTTCTTAAACTGGCAAGCTCCAATTTGATTGGCTGGCTTTGACAATAACATAAACTACTTGTTCACTACTCCGACATGAAGTCGCCTCATCTCATGCATGCATTCATGTAACACCTAATAGGGATGGATCGCTCCTCAGCACCAGCTACGACTGACACAATTAAGTTCAAACCGTCTTGTGTCCTCTTACTATCAGATTATACTCATATTGAAGTCTTCCCTCCGGCTGACAACATCATTTGGTTCGTTCACAGCAGCACTGAGCACCAATCTAAGTGTCACTGTTACACATTCACGTGCAGTGTTAGCCAGGGTTTAGGAGATTTTATATTCGATTAGCCCACAATGGGTTTAATTGCTAATTGGCACAGCAGCTAACTGGGTTTTGGGTTGTTTTGAGAGTAATTCATGTAAAATGAGCTGATTAAAGCTTCTGTTTATTGTTCCTTTTTGACATAAATTAGCCAATGATTTCATCCACATCAACATGCAATTACACACAACCCACACTGCTGTAAGAAGTGACAAAATGTTTCTAAAAAAATACAGATAGTATTTCATATTTTATATTAATAAGTTGGTAAGTGAAAAGTTAGTCAGATGCTTATAAATTAGGGACTTGACTAGTGTTCATTCCACCCTCGAGGTGCATCAGCGTTTCTGTTTGCATTAGCCATGTAAAATGAATTATTTATTTCTACATGTTGTTCTCATGTAGATGTTAGTTTTTCAGTGCTAATGAATACTTTATGAGTCACTTGTACCGTAGGATGTTCTCATGAACCCCAGAAAATGTCTGCTCAGCAAACACTCTCAGAGTAGGCAGAATTTACTAAAATATTAATAGTGCTTTTTTTATTTCCATGGAAAAGTTAAAAAGAGAGAGTTGGTGGATTTGTCAGATTATTGCATAAAGAATTTAGTGGCACAAATCTTTTTTTTTTTTTTTTTAAAGATTTATTTTTGGCGTTTTTGCCTTTTATTGATAGGACAGTAGTGAGACAGGAAGCGAAGTGGGAGAGAGAGGGGGGACGGGATCGGGAAAGGTCCGTGAGCCGGGACTCGAACACGGGACGCCCGAAGCGCAATGGCGCTACATGTCGACGTGCTGCCCACGAGGCTATCGGTGACGACGCAAATCTTCTTTTTTTTTTTTTTTTTTTTTGAATGAATGAACTTTTAGACATTTTATAAACTGTTATACTGAGAAGTACTGATGAACTTTTGTTTTGTAATAGAAAAAGAAGAAGCTTTTCATTTTGCAATTACCCCATATTCATTCATCATTCATTCATTCATTCATTCATTCATATATATATATATATATATCGCTTAACTACTCTAGTTTTAGTTTTTCAAATGTAAAAAAAACCCCCTGCAAAACAGTGACTAAATATAAATGAGGGGAAATGTGTTTAATTGTCACAATAAAATAAATAAATTAATAAAATAAAAATTTTTCCTTGTGTTTTCCAAATATAATTTTCTTTCTTTCTTTCTTTCTTATTTTATTTATTTATTTAAAGCAGAATATTCTTCACAGGAAGCACATATTTGTTGAGACAGTGCATGGCAGACAGTGGTGCAGCACCCAGCTGTCTGATTCATGTGCTGTAATTTTAATCAGCCCCTGTACTAAAGAGCTGCCTCTAGACCTTGAATTATTTGCAGTCTCGCCTGAGGCGTTTCTCATTTCCAGAGAAGAGCAGATTGAGGAAAGTAATGGTGCGCGTGCTCTTAAACTGAACAGGAATCTCTTAATCCACACAAGCCAATAGAGGCTGTAGCAGCTAGCAGTGATTGCTCAGGTGTCAAGCACCGCACGGAGCTCTATTTCTCTCTTGCCCTCACTTCTCTCTTTTCCTTTGTGCTTCCTCTCTTTTCCCTCCATTTAGCAGTCCTCCACAGCAGACCTGATGATCAGGAGCATCCTCCTGAAGCATGCTGGGAAATATGGCTGTCGTGCTCAGACGAGTGCAGACAGTGTGCTTGAAGAAGCTGAGCTGCTGGTTAGAGGTGAGTACGCCAAAACAAGCTTTTGGTAAGTTGCAGTTCATAATGAAAAACTGTGATTACAGCGTTTTACAAATAACATGAAATCAAAATTGACCCTGTTGACTTTCTGAATAAATTTCCCTGGTTTTATTGGGAATGAGTCATGATTTATCTCTCTGCATTATTCGAAAGAAACAGGTGCTTGTTTTCTGAATATTTCATCTCAACATTCTCCAGTTCAGAAATATTTTCTTTTCCAATGACATTACCAAGGTTGTGTAAATATTACACATTAAGGCCCTTTCCAGTTCCACACTGAGGGCGATGCGAAAAAGCGAGGTGAATCGCCGACGAACGTTGCTTTCACACCGAACGCGAAATGATTGTTCGCCTTCTGCTAATTCACGCCTGCACGCTAGGTGGCGCCGACCAACAATGCATTTTTCCTCAGATATGTTTCTCGTAAATGGATTTAACATCATCCGTTGCTCAATATACAGCAATAAATTAAGATAAACAAGGTTCTACACCAGAAACAAACTATCTATAATGTTTACAAGAATAGGCTACATCCTAAAATATAATTAGAAGTACAATTAGCATCAAGCTACACTTGATAATGTATGTAATTATTAATGTATTTGCTTACCCACTTTAAACCATCATCGAGTGCTTGTAATAACTTCCAGTTGTGATCTATAGTTGATTTTGATTAATAAGCAGACACATGCACTCTGTATGTTTAATAACGCTACACTGCTAATATTTGTCATAAACATCCTTTATTGCTATAAAAATACCATGAGCTGCATACAAAACACAGAAAATATATCGTATAGAAAAATATATATAGAAAAAGAGTGAACGCGCTCTGACTCATAACACTTCGCGCACATGGAAGAAAACGGACGGTGCTCTACAGATCACATAATTCAGTGGACAATTAATAGACATTTTATTCTGTATAAAGAACATGTGAGAATAAATCTGTTCTCAAATACCAACGATAACAAGAACTCAGCATCCACTCTCTTATCCGGGATACATTTCTTCTGTGTTTGTTTACACTGGTTTTCGAAACAGCGCCACTACTCTTGCCTTTTTGTGCAACAGCAGCTGCTCCGGTCACGTGATCCTAGCTCAAATCTTATTGGACATCCCGTGATTTCGATTTGCGAAACTGAAACGATTCGTCGACTGGTTCGAAAAAAAAAAAAACATTCGCATTTTCGGTGCGCGAATGTTCGCGGTCTATGTGGAAGTATCCATAGGAATCTATTGTTTTATTCCAGCGCGTCATCGCGTCCGATATTCGTTTCGCTTTTTCGCGTTCAGTGTGGAAAGGCCTTAAATTTATACAGTTCAGTCATTTCCTGATAGTTAAAAGTTCCACCCTCCATTTTTTTTATAAGAATAAATTCAAATTCATTGTAACCAACTGTAAATATTAGCATATACAGTATGTCAAAATTGCAATTTGACAGATAAATTAAATAAAATGTTCACATATTCACACAATAGTATATATATATATAGTAACTATTATAAAATAATTATTATAAAATAACTAATAATCATACTGCCCACTCCGGTCTAAATATTTGCACTGTTTCTTAAAATAATTGATTACCAAGAATATGCAATGAGTATGAGTATGCAAAATATAATGTTTAAAGAATGTTAAAACTGGCAAGAAATCAAAATTGTCCTCATTTACTGCCTTAATAAACCCCATGTCTTGATTATTATACAAAAAAAAAGTGTTTTTATGGTAATTCATTAAAGTGTAATAACTTTCTGTGCCTCTAAAATTGGTTTTCAACCAGAGGGGCCCAGAAACCGTCCAAGGGGGTCACAAGATGAGTTCAATTTACTTAATTAAAATGCTAAATCACAAATAATCAAGATGTAAACTGAAATGACATTTATTTTTGCCCTCAATCACTATTTTCATTGAAAAGCATTCAGAATCAAAATCTTGAATATTATAATATAAAATAGTATAGAAATGATGCATTCATTAAATATCAACAATCCCAGTTTCTGTTCATTAAAAAAAGTTTGAAAACAAGCTTGAAAACGAGGCCTTTGAAACAGGAAGGTTGAGAACCACTGCTTTAAAAAAACTTTTATATCCTGCTGCATATTAATGTTAACAAATTATTAACTATAAATATTAGTAACTAAATATACTGTTTTCTTGGAGTCGGATCGCATTATGGATGCTAACTAATTGTGAATGTTGTTTTACATTTTACGAAGAGTTTCTGCACTTTATAATCACAAGTAATTTCCTCCTACAAGAACTTGCAGTTTCTTATTTAATTAACAGCTTGTTAAAATTAACAATAGTTTCATCAATATCTACTAGATGTTATTCCTGTACAAAACCTCACTTCACCTCACTCACGTGATGGGTTGCATGATTCTTTTGTAAGAAAGCAGAGTCATTAACTTATCTGTGCCTCCAACATCGTTGGCCTACAAAGAAATGTGTTGTCCGCACTTAGCTGACCATCAGCCACGTGTGTTCATGATGTTAGCCAGAGCACTTCCACATGTGCGCTGCTTCCTTTCAGACAAGAAAATCCTTTTGTGGTCTCCATCCAGACGTAAAACAGAAACCCCTACTGCTGCTGCCATGGTGATGCGCCATGCATATTAATATCCTCGATTGCAAAGCCACCTTTCAGTCCAACCTTTTAACACATCTCTTTTCAAACCACACAGAATATTGACTTTCATTGGCCGAAGCAGCTGTCAGCCTCTCTGTTACAACTCTTTCCTCTTCAGCCAGTCGCTGATTCTGTACACAACGATTGCACTTACTTCTGAAGGCTGAGAAATGTGCATAAAAACACAGTTTAATACAGAAAAACCTTTCACCATTCAACCATGCCTAAGAGGGCTGGCAGACTACACATAATTGGCATGAAGAGGAAACAGAGCGGGTTCTTTAATCGGTGTGAAATCCTTGCCGAGAGATCATCCAGAATCATTCCATGCTTAAGAAAGTCTTTGTAGAGATTGAGTTGAATTGAATTACACATGTATACACATACACAATGTTTCTTGTCATCTCATTCATTACATTACACCAAGAAAAAAAAATAGACTAGCAGTCAAAAGTTTGAAATAATTTAAATTTTTGATGTTTTTGAAAGAAGCCTCTTATGCTCACCAAGGCTGCATATATTTGATGAAAAAAAAAAAAAACTGGAGTATTGGCTGCCGAAAATTCAGCTTTGCCATCACAGAACTCATTACCGTGTATTTTAAAATATATTTAAAAAGAAAATAGTTCTTCTGATCTGTAGTGATTTCACAGTATCATTGTTTTTAATATTGATTAAATATCAATATTTAATCAAACAGATGCACTCTTAGTGAGCAGAAGATGCAAAAATATCAAAAATTTGCATGATTTGCACCCTAGTAAAAAAGTAATATATTTAAAATACATTCATTCCATACTAAATATGTGACCCTGGACCACAAAACCAGTCTTAAGTCGCTTGGGTATATTTTTTAGCAATAGCCAAAATAGAAAGCTTATTTATTCATCTTTCAGATTATGTATAAACCTCAATTTTAAAAAAATGGACCCTTATGACTGGTTTTGTGATCCAGGGTCACGTATAGTTCAAATCTATTGACATATTTACTGACATATCGCTCGAAAGTTACTGATATAAAAATTATAATTAAACTTTATCTGGAGTACTACTTGTGTACAATGCACATTTCTTAATATTAAGCCTAAAATGTGTTTTAATGCAAGTATTAATGAGGATTTTATGATCTTTGAATAATATCGGTCTTTAAATGCAAGATATTTAAAGTGTACCTAAAGTATACTTGCAATAGTTCCACTTTAACACAATCAAATATAAGTACAAAATTAGTTGCTACAATTTGGCATACTTTAAGTATACCAGTTTAGTTTACCAAAAGTACAATTGCAGGGTATTTTTATTAAGCACATAAATATAATGTATTTGTAGTATACTTGGCTTGAAATAAATGTTTTTTAAATACCTTTTAATATATTTATTTTTCACTAGGCAGTAGCACTGTGAGACTTAGTCTTTATAATGGCATGTGCTATATAAAGGCCCTTGATAGTTTTCAAAATTCACAGTTATTGTCCACTGATTTTTTTTTTCTTCTGCTAAACAGTCGGTACAATGTTAAACAACAGTACAGTCCATTGAACACACTGTACTTCTGTCCTTCACAGCTTCGTTTTCATTCCTGTCAGAATTTAAATTTGACTATGGTATATTATTCAAATTTTTGACCAGTATAGTGTACATTAACTGACACACCTGTAGATAATAATAGTGATAAATTCCTATTGAATACTGAGAAACATGGTCCACCCAATCAGTGGATAATCAGGGGAAAGAAGGCCAGATGTTATTATTAAACATTGGAAGAACTAATCATAAGTAAAAAATAAAAAAAAATGTGTGAAAGTCTGTTAAACGTATCCTTCAGTTTAGTTTGACTCAGTGGTGGCGTTTGTTTCCAGGCCCTCCTGGACCTCCTGGAGTGGTGATTGTAGAGGAGATCACGGATACCACGGCGACGTTGTCATGGAGCCACGGAGTTGACAATCACAGTCCAATCACCACCTACAATGTACAGGCACGAAGCCCTGTCTCTCTGGGCTGGCAAACAGTGAAAACCGGTAATCACTTCCATACAAATTAATGTCTCGGTGTGTGTGTTTAAGTGATGCAAGTGACAAGCAGTTCAGATTGTATTCAAATGCTCTAATAAAAGATCATTGTTATATTGTATGTGATATATGGCAGCCATTATGCAGTCTTCAGTGTCATCAAAAATAATTCTAATATGGATTTGTTGCTCAAGAAAAATTTATCATATATATATATATATATATATACTCAGCATGGAGACATTAAATTGAACAAAAGTGATTTTTTTTTTTTTCCGGAAGATTTATATTTCAAATAAATGCTGTTCTTTTTATTTATCAATGATTCCTGGAAAAAATTTACTTTGGTTCCATTAAAAGAATGTTAAGCAGAAAAAACAATATACATACTTAAGCAATACTCACAATAATTCCGTTTTACTATATTTTTCTTTAATAAATGCAGCCTTGAGCATAAGAGCTCAAGAGCATATGAGACTTCTTTCAAAATAATTGAATACACTGTATATAATTCCTTTTGAAGTTAGTATTGGACCCATATTGAACTTACATCAAGCTCCATGTGAAAGTTTAAGTTTTAATGTTCACTGACTCTTCAAATACTCCTATATTTCTTGTTATATAAGATCTCTCTTCAAACCTTTGGCTTTTAGCATATGACTGCTAACAGTGTCTCTGAATGCAGACTCAAGCACTGGGAGTTGACTTTTCCTCCCATCTGTTTGTAAGGATGTGTGACAATAGCCCAGTGGGCCTCGATTAAATGTCTGTTTTGCTTTTTTAAATGTCACTGGCTGAAATCTGATGTCAAATTAATTTGAAGGTCATTAGTAGGTTAACTTTACCATCATTTGGAATTGCGTGAATCTCACGAGTCATATTTCATCTCAAAATTGAAAGAAAATGACATTGTACATGAACATATTATCGTTATACTAAGTATATATTTCTTTAATCTAGACACATTCTTGACATGATTTTTGAAATTCACCCAATTATCTACCTCTCATTTTTTTGTAATTTGTCAGATAAACAAGACTCACTATTTTGTTCTATTGCTATCAGGAGATAAATAGCTTTATTTTGTGAACCTTGACTGTAATACCACTTGTAATTATCCGCTATTATCCAAAGACAACAGCTTTTTGTGTCATCTGTTCAAACATTAGCAGTCTGCTTTGGATAATAGCAAAGTTTTATGCAATGATGTCGACTTTTTATGGACGAATCGTTCTTTTCAGTTTGAACATTCCACACGTATGACAGTAAGAGAGATAAGGCACAATTAGTGTGTACACAATGCTGTAAGTGCTGAACCTAGTCAGATTAGAACAAAGAGGCAGAGAAGAAGAAAATCTTTACTTAGCAGTGTTTAAACACTGCTACTTCACATCCTTTAAATCCTTCATAGAGGACGCTGCTGTGATTTAGGTTAAAAACGCATAAATACTCAGTACACATCAAACGATCTGTAATAACAGACATAGCATAGTGACCGCATAATAATACAGTTACTCACACTTGTGTGGTGTGTGAAAAAGGACCAAGTTATTACTGATGTGGTTTGGAACTTCATTAAAAATAAAGGTTATCAAATAAAGTTTATCGTTTGGTTTCTGCATAGACCTGCGTTTGCCTCTCTCGTTATTTACACTACATGAGTGAATCGGTGGGCGGGGCTAAACAGGCAGTGATGTAGAAGCAGGCGTTGATCTTCTTCTGCAGAGACGGTGTTTAGTCACACTATTACGTCATAAATTGGCACATTCCACAACCTGTAGTTTAGGCGGATTGGCTTCAATATAAGCTGTTTTTAGACTAACAAGAAAGTTTTGAGGTATGAAACTTACAGAATGTTTTTATAGCACAATTCTTATATGTAAAAAGATCAAGGGAATTTAGATTTTTCAGTTCATGACCCCTTTAAATATAGTCAATGTGTACTGAAGAATGTCTTTAAATCTTTAAAGCACAACAAAAGATTAAAAGACTGGTTTAAAATGTAATTTATGATGGATGGACAGACGGACGGACGGATATAGATAGATAGATAGATAGATAGATAGATAGATAATTATGCAAGCCTCACATCACCAAGTACAGTGCCAAACTTCAGAGTAGTGTAAAGCATGCCGCCACTGGACTCTGGAGCAGTGGAAACCTGTTCTGTAGAGCAGGGGTTCTCAAAGTTGATCTTCAAAGGTCTGAATCTAAATTATCATCAACGTCAAAAGGTCCGAAATAATTATTATTACAAAACGTATTTTTAATAAACATGCTTATAACTTTATATAACTATTCAACTTTATATATGCTTAATTATCATATTCATGACGTCATCAGGTTGTACTTGTGTTTACTCTCTGAACTGTAACAGTACTGCATTTTTATACAACTAAATGCCCAATAAAGCAGTTCTCATTTACATATTTTATGTTACTGAAATAGTAACCTGCAGTCACTTCAACTGAATTGATAACTGCAATACGCTGTTATACAGCAGTGAATTATATTACTTTATTTTATATACCATGCAGCACAAATGTCCGTCTGTGTAACAAACTATGTGCATATTTACAGACTAACTACATTCATGTTCATATTCTCAGACAGTCAGCAGTGATAGGTTTTTGAAAAAGCTGTTTTGTACTCATTCATTCACAAGTCTGCTGGATCCGGACCGGAGAAGCGCTGCTGTAGAGTGACAAATCAAGCTTCTCTGTTTGGTAATCAGATGGGCGAGTCTGGATTTGGTGGTTGCTGGGAAAACATTACCTGTAAGGATTCTCATACTGTACAAAATTTCAAAAAGCGGTATTTTAAAAGCCCAAGAGCCAGTGGCAATACGAATGTAGTTTTTGGCATGCCAGAAACGCACACTACAACTGCAAATGAAAAACTCAGAGGAATGCAAAGGAAATCGAGGCATGTGTGGTCAAAGAGGGACAGAAAAAAAAAAAACCTATGAAAGTATAGAGAGGCTAAAGAAGAGAAACAGTGAGATAAGGCAGGGTAAGCCGGAGGGGGGAAAGAGAGAAATTTTGTGGAGAGCATCTGGGAGTTTATCATCTCACAGTCTCACGCCTGGAGTGGGGCTTTGGTCCCACAGGTTATGTACAGCCGTTAACTGTAGACAGAAGTTAGCCCAGAGGTTTGGTCCTCAGCCAAGTGTGTGTCTGGACTGAAATGAGGTGTGTAAAAAGAGGAGCCAGTCCTCTGGGCAAACATAATCTTGTGTCTGGTGTCTCTTATGTATTGACTTGAGCAAAGCATGAGAGAAATCTAAATTACAAATTCACTTTACTAGAAGCGATGGAAACATTTCTCAATCTCTTATTCAAAGCCCAATTACACAGAGAAACGGAAGCTGTAATACACTGGGTATACGTATGAAAAAAGTATGCTTCAGCATTCTTTTAAAAAGAGTACTTATTATGGACATAATATACTTTAAAAGAATATACTCAAGTCCAAACTATAGATTACACTATAATGTATAATAACTATACATTATAGTGTAAATGTATATTAAATGCATTTAGCTGAACTTTAGAGTGCTATTTTGACCCAATTAAAGGGATAGTTCACCCAAAAATGAAAATTCTGTCATTAATTACTCACCCTCATGTCATTCCAAACCCGTAAGACCTTTGTTCATCTTCAGAACACAAATTAAGATATTTTTGATGAAAACCGAAAGCTCTCTGCCCTCCATAGACAGCAAGGGTCCTACCATGATCAAGGCACAGAAACGTAGTAAGGACATTGTTAAAATAGTCCATGTGACATCAGTGGTTCAACCATAATTTTATGAAGCTATGTAATTAATGACAGATTTTTCATTTTTGGGTGAACTAACCCTTTAAGTATTACGTTAGGACATCTTCATACGCATCTGTAATTACACAAGTTGTAATATTGAATAATACACTTGATAAGTGAATGTACTAATAAGTGCACATCTTTACATTTTGACAAAAGATAAGTAAAATATAAAAATTATATATTAAAATATACTTTAAAGTAAAAAAATGGACTTTATTAGGGCAATGTAATGTGTAATGTAATGTGTAATTAGTGTAATGTATATTACAGTATATGTACTTTTTTTTTTTTTTTAAGTACACTAGAAGTGCACATTCAATACAGTTAAGCACACTTCTTTTTCACAAGGGCATGGCCATCAAAACTTTTTAGTTTTTAGAGAGACAGCGGCTGTGACAGGTATTGCTGTTGAAATTGTTCTTTAAATCAGAAGCATTTTGTATTCCTCATTGTTGCAGAAATGTAAAGCTTTATGCTTAGCTGGTTTAAAAGAAAAATCCAGTATTGACTTTTTAGGTTGTTCAAAATCGATCTATGATGTTAGAAAACTAGATGTTGGCTCCGTTCCTCAGCTTAGTGAGCTGAAGCATTTAAAGACTGTTCCAAAACCTAGGCAGCATAATTGTTTATTCTAGCTAATTAATAATGGCATGTGTTTATGCTTATAGAACATCATAATGATATGCTAATGGAAAACATTTGCACTGTTCCAAATCAGTCACTTGTAAAGTTGCATTTGAGTTTGGTTGCTGTCTTAGAAGTCAGCTGTCTATGTACAGTAAAGAGTAGAAAAAAATCTGAAAGAAAAATAATGAAATGTGTAAATGTAGCAATTTTTTATTTTATTTTTTTCATTTTTATGCATTGTGATATGTTTGGAGAATGTAACGTTAAAACTGATCTCTCCAATTTAAGTCGCCAACATTAATGTAAAAAGTTTCATTCTTATTAATGTAATACTACTACTACTAATAATTATTATTATTTTAATATAATAATTATGATGAAGATGATGATGATGATGATGATGTGTAAATTGTAATGTGTTTCAGTGAAATTATTTCATGTGTTTCTTGTACTAAATTATTTTTTTTATTTTAATACAGCTTAAAACTTTACTGAAACATGGCAGTGGAGCTCAACCCCTGGGTGGAGTATGAGTTTCGGGTGGTGGCCACGAACGGCATAGGAACAGGTGACCCGAGCGCCTCCTCCAGAGCGGTCCGCACTAAGGAAGCAGGTATCTGTCATTGGTTCATTCACCCGTGAATATCACTGAGCTAAACGCCCTCCATAAGAACAGAAATCTAAATAAACAAACAGTCTTCTCTCAAGCCTCGTTTATCCTCCACTCGGGGGGATCGTGTAGCTGCGTGTTGTGACACATTTTTACGACTGCCGTCACCCATCTGAACATCCAGGGTGACCCTGGTCCTATTTTAATTGGAGGAGAAGTGGAAAATAAGCCGCTTACATGAATTTAAACAAGTTTTTGTGTTTGAGCTGAAGCAGAAAGGCACTTGTGCCCTCAGGCAGAGAGGCTGCAGAATTCTCTATTTACGGAGAACAAAACCCTCGCTTCATCACACTTTGGTTCAAAAACATTCAGCAGGCCTGCCTGATTACGCAGCAACAAAATGTCCCAAAATACGAATATAATGACAGCTACTTTTTTATCATTATTTAAAGCCGATTGAATTACTGTAGTTTGTCATCATATGCCACCGTTCGTTTGTTTGTTTCTTAAAGGAATAGTTCTTTCATTATTTACTCTCCCTCGTGCCAAAACCAGTGTGCTGTTATTTTTAGCCGTGGAACCCAAAACAAGAATTTTTTAAGAATCTTCACAGAGTATGTTTCCATGCAGTAATGGTTCCACAGCCATTGAGCTTTGGAATTGACAAAACAACTAAAAGCACAATAAAAGTGGCCCATGCATTAAATCGATATGAAATCATACAAGATGAGAACAGAAAATATGTTTGACTAATCATCCGTTCAGATTTTAAAAAGATCCTAATGTTTGCATCTCAACGTGTCTCACCAGGTTTGACATTACTGATGCCAAAACACCACTTGTTCTTGTTTGTGTCATGTGTGAACATGGCACATTTGTTCAAATGTGCAGGATGCGTAAGATCGGACAGCTACAATGGAAGGGAAGATTTTCCCTATACCCTACCCTATAATAGTTACCTAAATTTGGGTCTGACCCAAACTTTGAAGTGTTGTTGTATGAAAAAGGGCAATAATATCTCGTTTCAACCCAGCTTCATTGGAAAAACATGAATGTGGGAAAATTACTGCAAAATATTATGTTGCTTCTTGCACGTTTCATGACACTTTCAAAGTTAAATGTCCAGTGAGTGGCCTAAACGTGTGTTCAGTTTTAACAAAACAAGTGAATGAGGGAACATTTTATTACATTGGTTGTTGTAGAGTTATTGGGGCAGTTCGGAAATGAAATGTCCAGTGATTGGCACTAAAAAGTAAATGCTCCATCTTGTTAAAAAAATACACCTCCTACACTAAACTCTACCTTAAATCTAATTGACAGTGTTAACAAGCCTTTGGTCTCTTTTATCGTGCCTTGTGTTTCATGGGAATCGTACTCAAGCGTTCCACATCACAAGTGCAATGCTATACCAGGTGAGCTATAGAGCTATATCGGAAAAGCCATACATATGGAGCTGATTATATGATATAAATATCAGTATGTATTGGTTTACAAGTCAAACACAGAAAATAGTTTTGAGGTCATAGTATAGCCTTCCAGTGGCTCAAACAGAAGAACATGTTGCTAGCAACACCAATATAGCAAGAATTGATAAAAAGTGTACCTTGAATGGAACACAGGTTGATTTAAATAAAAGTGTCTGTCAAATGCCTAAATATAATGTGAATGTAAAGTATTGTGCAAATGGAACTGCATAAAAATTATCATAATTTGTATAAAAATTTGTTAGTGTTTATTGTCATTAATATTCAGTTTCAGCTAGGAACTGCAGTAAACTGTATGTGTATGTAGGTACATTGCTGGATTTAAAAAAAAAATGTAGGTAGAAGCATGTTTTTCCCATGAGCCTTGGTTGTTAATTTATTATCCCACAAAATAACGCCATTGTAATTATGGATTTGTTTATATGAGTAATTGAGTAAATAAGTGATAAATAATTATAGAATAATTATAGTATTTTACAGTTTTGGTTTAACTATTCCCATTTAGCTTTTTTCCTCTTTATTTGCTATGCTTTTTGTGTGACTCAAGCTGTCAGATGTGTTTAGTGAGTGCTATACTGTTTCTCGACTTAGCAATTCATGGTTGTGGTTTTGAGAGTTACACCTGTAGAGTGAATTTTCCTCCTCTGTCTTAACAGCCAAGCATTAATTAATCATTAGTAGTCATTAGCAAGTAATGCACCACTCGCATTTTTGCATAGAGGTTTTAGCTACTAAAAGCTAATAATATAATGCATTATTACATTGCAGTATTTCTGTGTCTGCAGTTCCGTCAGTAGCCCCTGCCAACGTGAGAGGGGGGAACGGCCGCAGGCATGAGCTGGTCATATCCTGGGAGGTAGGTTTGCACTCAGCATGCACAATGGACACCCTACTTTGAACTCTTGCTATGCTAATGAATATGGCATAAAAGACTTGCAGTTCCTGGCCAAATAGATTCACACAGCTAATTGACTTGAGCGTTCGTAATTGTATCCGGCTATAATTGCCACCATCGCAATTTGCCTATTGAAGGATTGCTACACTTATAGTCCCAAACCCTATAAGAACAGATGAATGACTATATTCGAAATGAAATTTTGTGCTTTGTGGGAATGCTGTTGGAGGCAAAAAGGACTGAGAAGTGGTGCAGGTTTATTCCAGACCTGCTAGACATTTGTAATAATTTGCAAGCCTTACTTTATTCAAATTATTAACATGATGTAGGCTTAATAGGAAAATTGAATATTTGTAAATGCTGACAAGTCATTTATACATATTCATTCATCTGTTCATGTGCAGGTGTGATGGTTTGTACATTGAGGGTATGTCACACAAACTGTTTTCCATTAATTAAAGTCTATTTGTTTGTGTTTGTGTCGATTGCTTTTGTGATATGTGACATTTAGCAAATTTGGCATGTATTATTTAAAATGCACACCATACATCTGAATATGCCTTCTTCCCTACAATATTGCAGGTGAAATTCGTTGTATTTTTCGAAAAAGTAGGCAAGTATTCGGATGACCTAATACAGGAGCAGTGAAGCAATGGATTTGGAAGTCAACGGCTACCAGTAACTGTTTGATTACCAACATTCTTCAAAATATCTTCTTTTGCATTCTTAAGTTCTTAAACTTAACTATAATATTTTAAAGTGTATTATTTACATAGTCAGAACTCTTTTTCGAAAAGTTTCTAAAATATACACATTCTTGCGCAGTGCCAGGTTTGATGTCATTGACGCCAAAACACAACTGGTTCTCGAATGTGTTGTAATCTAATATGACACACCATTCATTTTCCAATATGTGGAATGGAGAATGAAATTTGAGAGCTGCAGCATATCGAATGGCTTCAGAAGACATATAGCGCACAGGTCATACAGTATACTGTTGAATATAATGAATATACTGTTATGATATTTCCTTTTAGAAGCTTGACAGGGGTGGTGGTCACTGCCATTTATTATTTAAAAAACTGAAATTTTGTCAAATGAGAGAGATGGAAAATGACCGTTAACCTTCGATATTCAAATCGCTTGGATGTTTTTTGAAAATGTGTTTGTTATCTGAAATTGTACAACCCTGAAGCAACATCTAGTCAGGTTTTCTGTACTGTGTAAAGAGGATACTAGCATGCTAATGAACAGAATCACCTTTGGTTTTGTGGACTGGTGTATGGCGGAGGAATTGTGCACATTAACACATTTTAAAAAAGAAAAAAAAGGTTTCCAGATGAAGCCAGTTAAAGCTGCGATTAACTGGGGAATTGAGGAACAGATGTACGCTGAAGTGACGATATTCTTGCAGTTATTAAATACTCGGGGCCCCAACTGTCACCAGGCAAATAACTTTCATATTAGCAGAACTATACCTTAGTGAGAAATTAAATACGATAAGGCTCATTCCAGATGCAATGGAATATTTTTACCATGATGACTTCCTGAGTTTATAACCCCTTGAGGAGGTTATCACTGTAACTACAGAATAATCAGAGTTTTAATTTTGCTTTGGCAAAGACAGTTCAATTATAAGCCCCTCATCGCGTTCACAACGTGCAGAACGTGTCTATACACTAGAAAGGTTTTTAGATGTTGCTTAGAGCTCTGAACACATTGTGAGTGTAATGTTTGCCTGTTTTAAACACACGGGAGATTTCTCAAGTGTTAATTATTTGCTGTATCACTTTTAAGGGACTTACTAGCAGGTATCCTGACAGGAGCTTCAGGTGCTATTTTGAGACACATAGTACATCATATTAAATTACATATCATTTAGCAGACGCTTTTAAACCAAAACGATTTGCAACGCATTAATTGGACTGTCCCCCCGGAGCCCGAGTGCTTTGCTCAAGGACATAATGGTGACTGAGCAGCTTTATGAATTTAATAATACTTCAGTTACCAAGTCTCCCATACCTGGAATATAACCTTTTCTAGCACAGACACTTCACATTAACCATACTTAAAACGCTTAGCACTAACAAAGCACTAAGACCTGTTGACAATGTGTGTTACTACATTTCATTTACACAGGGTCCAACATTAAACTCCAAATGCAAGTAAATATCTGCACTGGCAAATATATGAAACAATTTTTCATTTACTTTTATTGGCTGGCAACTTCATGAATTCTAACAACACATATGGTTTAGTGCTGTTATCAAATCACAAAGGCTGCAATGTAGTGATATATGTAGTTTTAAAAGTGAGCAGATTATTATCCAGTATATGCAGTGTCTTGGAGCAACTCGGTTTGCCTGCAGGTGTTGTGAGTTTGGGTCGGCTATAGCATGCATTTTAAAATGCAACATGTTCCAACCATCTTCTCAAATTTTTCATGACAAATGTTCATAAATCTGTTGTCAACAAAAGAGAAGCTTTAAGGTCTACTTGCGGTTGTCTGCCAAATTAAAAAAAACTGTTTTAATGATTTAAATAGAAAGTAATACAGCCATTAAAATAAATATTGTCATTTTACTGTTGTATTTATTTATTGTATTATTATTATTTTATTTTTTTTTACAATACAATGGTATAGTTACTGTAGTAAGATATTTCTTTATTGATTTTTTTTTTTTACTTATTTATTTTAAAATTTAAGAAGCTGAAAATGTGGTGGTGTTATTATTACAACATCATGAATGAAAATAAATAAATAAACAAACAAACGTATAAATAAATAAATAAAGTCTGCCAAAAAAACAATATACAACAAATTAATTGTTATATAATTTTTAGGTTTTGGAATTTAAATGTTGAGTAGCAGGTGGCTTGGCACGCTACCACTTCAGAGTTGTTAAAATAGTCAGTTAGTTTCTCTGGCACAAATACAGCTATATTAGGTTTAATGTTTCAAATTGACCTTACAGTTTTTCTCAATCGATTTTACACTTTTCTCCAATGCAATGTACTTGTTCTCAAAACATTTAACACAGCCATCCAAACACAAAATTATCTTAACCAAACAGTTCAACTTTACTGCAAAATGAAGCACTGCAATTTTTTCTAGTAATGCAATTATTAAAATTAAATATTAACATCAAATCTATAGGTGTGTTCTCTATTGATTATAACACACATTCAGCTGTATGCACAAATATGCTAATGAAAATACAGTACATGTTTATTGCAATTCTTCAAATGGGAGTTTTGTTATTGTATATCTAAACGAAATAAAAATTGTTATCCAACACCTGCTATCACCCATGAGAAAAAACGAATTGCCGCTTTAAACTTAAAATCTGTTTTTAAGTCAAGAACTGCAAACAAACTTTTCTGATAACTACAGATCAAATGGCCGGTGACGTGATAACATTTACCGGCCAAATATTTTTTTGTTACCGGCCATGAAACTCTTTTTACAAAACAGGCAGTCATTACTACTACAATGACTAAACATATTTACAATGTTTTTAATTTGTCCTTTCATTTACTTACAAGAAAAAAACAACAAACAGATTTATTGATTTATCTTTTTTTTGTCCCTAAAAAACGTTGAGATTCTTGTCCTTTGCATGTGTAACCCCTCTCTCCCGGGTCCGTGGCCAAGGGGGTGGGGGCCATCCCGATCTCTTTCTGGGGGGACCTATAAAATTAGAAAAATCTATAAAAGGTTAACATTAGTGCTGTCTTTCAGTCGTTTAAAAAAAATAATTAATCACATTTTTCTGTAGTTAATCATGATTAATCACATTTTTATATTGTCATAATTTCACACTGAACCTCCAAATTAGTGTAGAAACAACATAAAAATTGTATATTTTAAATATGTTTTTAATGGCATATTTTTACTAAGTAGCCTATTATTAATGACGTATTGATAACAATACTGCTACTGGTGACTCTATTAACTCTTTCCCCGCCATTGACGAGTTATCTCGTCTTTTACAAGAAAATGCTTCCCCGCCAAAGATTAGTTTTTACGGCTTTTCGTGTTTTCACTGTTAACGAGTACAAAACCTCCCGAACAAAAAAGGAGGCTAAAGACTGCAGCCACTAGCGTTACACATGTTTTCGACAAACGGAGCAGGCCATCGTGTTACGCCTGTTTCACACATACTCAGTTTGCAGTGAGTATGTGGTGCGTATTTTTTCCGCACCCATGTTAACGGATTAGAGCAGGGTTATTCAATTAGCTTCATTTGAGGGCAAAAAAAAGGAATGCTTTAAGCTAGAACAGTGACCTGAGTTTGGAGACGTGTCAAATTGATTGAGAAAAACTGTAATATTACAATAAATACAACTAGAAAATCAACTAGAACATTGTTTTATATTCAAATCATAGTGACAAACAGCAGAATTTAACTTAATATTTAGCTTCTAAAAAGGAAGCATTTATTTTTGAGGACGCATTTATCTGTTAAACATTTATTTTGGATTCCTCATGCAAGCAAACCCAAACTCAATTGAATCAAATTTCTCAATGCCACATATGAGATTGATTATTGCCTCAGATTACTCTGCTGCAGCACATAAAAATGTGATAATATGCATTTTATAACCAAACTGGCCATTTTAAGAGTGAGTTAGGGTTAATTGTGATAAAAACGTTTCTTTGTTTGTGGAAGTTACCATCTTCATATTTAGTCACTTGAACTGTTACAGGTGTTATTCCCGACTACTGGGAGAACAGAAAAAGCTTCACTGTGATAATTCATACGGGATTCAAGTCATAGCTATGCTGAATAGGAAATTCAAGAGTCACACCTGTTAGTAAACAATCCCAGAAAACAGATTGTGTGAATGTAGCCTCCCTAATATTGTGGACCATGTTAATGTCTTCTTCTCTGGCACAGTCCCATATAGCTTTATTTTAGCTCCACCCTGTTTGTCTGAGTCCCGATTAACCACTTTAG